TGAGGACTGCTCCTTAGCTCGGTGTGCTGCTCAGTTCTTTGTCTCTGGTGGCTTGGCCTACATCAAGTCCTATCTACTGGCAGCAGTGGCCTACAACAGGTATGTGGCTATCTCCAACCCACTGCTCTACGCTGCTGCCTTGTCCAAGAAGCTGTGCATGGGGCTGGGGGCTGCCTCCTACCTCAGTGGCTGTGCCAACTTCACCCTCATTACCAGTCGCATGTTCACCCTCAGCTTTCGCAAGACCAATATCATTGATGACTTCTGTGACCTGCCTTCGCTGGTGAAGCTCTCCTGTGATGTGAAAGAATGTTAACAGGTGCTCCTATACTTTATCCCAACCTCCAATTTCATCCTCCCCTTTGCACTTATCCTCAAATCCTACACCTTCATCCTGGCTGCCATCCTAAAGATGCACTCGGCCAAGGGGCAGTGCAAAGCCTTCTCCACCTGTGCTGCCCACCTTGCCGCTGTCACCCTCTACTATGGCTCCATCCTCTTCATTTATGCCTGGCCCAGCTCCATTTACATCCTGGGGAGGGACAACGTAGTCTCCGTGTTTTACACAGTGATGATCCCCATGCTGAATCCCTTTATCTACAGCCTGAGGAACCAGGAGGTGAAGGGGGCACTGAAGAGACTGGTGAAGAGACAGCTTCTTAATAGAAGAAAACCAGGGACTACATCCCCAAAGATACATATAGCCAAAACTGTACCTATATTTTCTTTATTGGGTTTTCACTTGTTTCTTTTCACAATAGGTGCAGGAGGATACAACACAGGAGCATAAGCTCTTCTGATCCCAAAGTGCTTCCTGATGGACAGGAGATGTCACTGTGCAGACAAACCTCCTCTTCTTCCCACCTCTCCTTATATATAATTTATATCTTATTTATAAAACAGGATCTCAGCAGTAGCTGGCCTCATTGTTGTACATAATTTTCTTCACTTTCTGCTTTATCTGGATTATCTGGATTCCTTACTTATACCAAACCAGTAGTTCAGGTGGAGGGCCATGTGTCATGACTGTAAAGTGCTTCTGCTCCTGAATTGTCTCATTATTTACTCATAATGCTTTATTGCACCACATAAACATACTTTTCATGGTCCTAGACTGTTTTCCCAGCGAAATGTTCACACCAGTGTGGATAGGGTGGGTCAGATTGGAAGAACCAATGTTAAGAAGCATTGAGGCATCTGGAATTGAGTTCAGTTGCCTGAAATTAGACAGTTAACACCATGGAGATGCCCACAAGTCTTCCTCTGAACTTTCAGATGTTGCTCCAGAGTAGCCTAACTGTTCTGAAGGTTGCACAGCATGCACACCAAACACATGCTGATGTCCTTGGCACCTCAGGACAGAGCAAATGGCACCAGGTTTCTACATGAGGGCAACCAAACTTGGACCTGGCCTGGGAATTTTTACTGCATCTTGCTCCTTTTCTGCAACTTAAGCAAAAGGTTTCCAGCACCACCTGTAGGAAAACATGCAAAAAATGTGAAGTGGTGTCGTAGTTATTAAAGTATCTTTTTTTTTTTACTTTATAAAATTTTAGTCCAAGGACTCAAGGAAAGGGAAAAAAAAAAACAACAATAAAGCTATTATTATTAAGACTGCTGGGAGGAAGGATTGGGTGATCTGAAGAAGATTAAACGCCTTCAAATTTAGATAAATAAAAGTGGAGTAATTAAGTTAGAGTTCCTTGTCTCCATTTGTGATCAATAAAGGTGTGTTTCTACTTTTCTACTTTTTGTTCAGGCAAAGAGTGCAGTTTAAAGAGTTTAAGTTTTAAGATCTTCCCACTTCCCTGCCTTGCCGTGTTTTTGTTCATGTCACAGGTTGGAGCCAGGCTGCATAAGCTGGGTTCCTCTTGGATGAAAACTGAAAATGGGGTTGAGAGGCGCAGCTAATGCACTTCCATCTATTGTGCCCTTCCAGTCGTGTTCAGATCCCTGGACCAGCACAAATTCAATCCTGGAAAAACTATTCTGAAGTGCATATACCATAGATGGTGTCTGATGATATTCAGACCTGCCCCTGTTGCACCACTTCTGTCTTAACTGTCTGTCCTAGGATGTGATAAAACACCTGCTTATTCCCTGGCTGATTTACTCATAATTAGACAATGAATTTTTAGAAGTTGAGAGACTGATGAACCCATTCCCATGCTTGTTCTCCAGTCCCAAATTTGCAATGGTAGGAAAATCATATTTATGAAAATCAGTCAAAAATTAAGGATGTATGTAGTGTACTTCAACTTACCACACAGTCTAAGAATGAAAAAAGACAAAAGCAAATCTATTCCAAGACAATTAATGACAAGAATTTCGTGGTGTGAGGTCTCTTATAAGAGGTCCAAAGGTGAGAAGAAATGCAATGAGCTTCCCCATCTCCCTCTGCTAGGGTGGATAAAAGCAAGCAAGGACAAATCACCCCATTAGTGAGAACAGAACACCCTTATCTGCACATATCATAAAGACATGGATGTCTCTTTAATGAGAGTGTATGACCAAGCTTGTATCTGTGGTAGCAGACACGACCTGACCCACAGAAAGCCCTCCAGCAGGCCTGAGCTCCAGGCTCTTGCCACACAGGTGATTATGGTTATTCCCATCACAGGTGATGCTGCTCCTCTTCTCAGAGCAAGAAGTGCTCCTTGGGGACCAACCACCTTTCCAGGAGCCATCAGCTTAACAAGACCTTCTGGGGTTTACCAAGGAAGTTTCCTAATCACTATGAAGGCTTCTTGGTGGGCTTGTAGTCAACTTACCTCATTCTTCTTAACAAGCCATAAGAGATTAATTAGTGGGGACTAACAAGAAATAAACTTTCTTCCTTGTTAACGACAAAGTGTGCTTCTGCAGCTACCTTGCTCATTAGAGTCAGTCCAGGCCCTGAAAGCAATGAGTCAAAGGGTCAGTGTGTTGACATGTGACTGTATTAAGGACAATTTTGTAAGCCTGGATGGATGGAGAGCAATGTTCCTCAAGGTTTCTCTGACTAAAGTACCTGCCTCTCATCCCTGAGGTTAAATTCCCACCTGCAGACTGAAGTCCTTCTTCCTTGGTGGGATGATGCAATGACCCAGCAGCACCCTGAGCTCCTTGCTGAGGAGGTATGGTGCTGTTTGGTGGGAGCACTGGCTGTGGTGGGAGCTTCTTCCATGCCAGTCTTGGGTATGTTTGAGATCACTTCTATAAGTTTCTACCCCATAGTTGTTCCTGGTCAGCACTTTTTTTTTCTCCTATTAATCTATGGGGTTAGCTGTGCTATAATCGTTAAAGTATGTCAGTCATTCCTCTGTATCTTGTGGCTTATTTCAGAGGGAAAATCGCAAAATTGCTCAAAACTAAGCAAAAGCAGTTATTAATAATATAACCAAAATAAGCTCAAAATGCCAGGACAGGGAGCAGATACCTGACTAGTGAGTAATTTTACCATTACTCATAGAAGATGCCACATAATAGCGTTCTGGTTCTTGAGCAAGTTGCAGACACTGCAGAAGTTTCTCAAATAAATTTGTAAATACAGCTACAGTTTAGCTAAAATAAGTTGCAGAAAAGGCCCAATGAGCCTTGTTGCAGTGACTTGTTATTATGAAGCCCACTGTTCATTGCTAATATTAGGAGCACTAAATTAACCGAATCTTGTGTTCACCAGAAGTGTGCCTGTTATTTGATATAGAGAGAGCTCTGGTCATCATTAACATGCTGAAAGAAATAGGTGATATTTGTTGTCATTGCTCAGGACAACAGTGGTAATGCATTTTCAAACTACAAATAATGAGAGGGTCTTAAATTCCTGAAATTAAAATAATATCAGACCGTAAACACAAATAGAAGTAGCTAACACATCCTAGAGACAGGTCAGTGAATAATGTAATCAGAAAGGAGTTAATGACCCAGTATTTAGGAACAAGGCAGAAGTTTCCCAGTACACTTGTCCCCAGTAGATCACAGGAGAGCACTGCTGCTTTTATACCATAGCAGTACAGAAATGGAAGGTATAAAAGTCTGAGAAGACCTCTCAATTCCTCTGGCACACCAGGGGAAAATGATTTTTCAGATTAACATTTCTTCTCCATCACTCTCCCCAGCACATTCTTCACCTCCTTGTTCCTTAGGCTATAGATGAGGGGGTTCAGCATGGGGGTCACCACCGTGTAAAACACAGAGGTCACTTTGTCGAGGTTCTGGGAGTGCCTGGAACTGGGTCGTAAGTACATGGATGCAGCAGATCTGTAGAACAGGGTCACAGCAGTCAGGTGGGATGCGCATATGGAGAAGGCTTTGTGTTTGCCCACAGCTGAGCACATCCTCAGGATGGTGGCCAGGATGTAGGTGTAGGAGACGAGGATGGTCAGGCTGGTGACAAACAGGTTGAAGCCAACCACAGCAAACATCACAAACTCGTTGACGGTGGAGTCTGTGCATGAGATGGCGTGAAGTGGGGGCCCCTCACAGAAGTGGTTGATGATGTTGGGACCACAGAAGGACAGCCGAAACACAAACCCTGTGTGGATAGTGGCATTTGCAATCCCAGCGAGGTGTGAGCCAGCTATCAGCAACACACAGACTCTGCTGGACATGCAGCTGGCATAGAGCATTGGTCTGAAGATGGCCACATAGCGGTCTTATGCCTTCACAACCAAGAGGTAGCACTCAGTAGTAGCAAAGACGGCGTAGAAATATAATTGTGTGAGACATGCAGAGTAAGAAATGACCTTCCTTTCTGCTAGGAGATCCGAGAGCAGTCTGGGGTAACTGAGGAGGAATAGCAGACGTCTAGGAAGCACAGGGTGCTCAGGAAGAAGTATGTGGAGATGTGAAGCTGGACATCCAACCTGATCAACACAAGTGTCCCCAGATTCCCCAACAATGTGATCACATATGTCACCAAGAAGACCATGAAGAGGACACCCTGGACATCCCCCTGCTCTGAGACCCCCAAGAGAACAAACTCAGCACTAGGAGTGTGATTTCCTTTGGCCATCATCTTGACATGGTTACTGTAGGAAAGCAGAGGTGCAGAGAAACACAGAGTCAGCATATTCCTGTTTCCCCCACAAACAAATGTTAAAGATGTGTTTATTTTTATCAGGAAACATGAATCTCAGAGGCAGGAACTGATGAAGAATGTATTCAATATTTGTCTCAAAACACATTTCAAAACAAGCAAACTGCACGATGGGATTTATTTCTAATGGTTTCAATAGTTCGATAAAGTCACTTTGCAAATCAGAGGGCTTATTCTACATCCTGAAGAAGTTAAGAAGTTTGTTACTCATCAGATCCAAAGAGATAACCACAGGAATTTATGCTAACATCAGAAACCAAAGTCTGTATTTAAAAGAATACAAAAATCTTTTCTCAGATAATAGAAAGAGAAAAAACACTGGTGAGAAACACAGACTTTTCTTTAGGAATTCCTTTAGGAATTACAGAACAAATTGAACTAGAAATTTAATTTCTTCCATTGCTTCTGATGTAACTCTGAAATTAAGTTTGAAACAGGAGATTTAGTACAAGTATTAACCCTCTCTTTAAATATGGTGGTATCCATGTAGTTCTTGTCATGCCATTAAGCTGAGAAAGACAACAGAAAGTGTTTACAAAGTTCAGTACCAGCGGAAACTCCAGCAATGCTATAGTGCCATTATAAACTGGGGGGAGCAGAATCATAGAATCATGGAATGGTTTGGGTTAGAAGAGACCTTAAAGCTCATCCAGACCAACCCCCCTGCCATGGGCAGGGACACCTCCCACCAGACCAGGTTGCTTAAAGCCCCATCCAACCTGGCCTTGAACACTGCCAGAGAGGGGGCAACCACAACTTCCCTGGGCAACCTGTGCCAGTGTCTCACCCTCATATTGAAGAATTTCTTTCTAATGTCCAATCTAAACCTACCCTCCTCCAGTCTGA